CGCCCACCCCGTCAGTACACCACTGTGTGCGTGGCATTAAAAAGTTATTGCGCAGCATGATTTTTTATTGTGCGCGGCTGCGCGCACATGCAGCTTAGAGGGAACGCAGGTCCGGGCCAGGACCAATGATCATCTGAGTGTCAGCTCCAGCCTGGAGCTGTGCTGGGATCGGAAACCGGCCTAGTGTAATCAGGGGTCAGAGTCAACAATCAGCTCATTTTCAGCCCTGGCCCCACTCCTGCAGGCATCTGGTTTTCTACTTGCTGTTGCAGGGGGAACGCAGGAACATGATAAAAATGCATGTACGCCAGGGGCCTAAGACACAGAGCTGTCAAATGACTTGCCAAAGGTCACACTGGAAGTCTGTGGCAGAGGAGGGGCAGGAGCTTTAACTACTGCCCTAACCACTCTTTCTCTCTGCTGGTGTTGCCTGTTGGGTCCTGCAGCTTGTGATCTGTGAGGCTTGTCCCTCTGAGGAGAGGGGTCTGGGCCTGTTCAGGGGGCCACACTGGGTGCCTTTCTGTGGCGCAGCTCTAAGGAAGGGAGACTCTTGGCTGGAGCTGCAGCTGCAGCTGCAACCCCAGCAAAGTAAGAGCTGGCAGTGGAAATTTCCACTCTTTGCCTTCTGGTTCTCGAGAGCTCCTGCAGTCAGATTTCTTCAGCTATTCCCAGCAGCTGCCCTGTCTGTGCTGGTTAATTGGATCTCGCTGAGTCTCCCTGGGCTGGAGCTCCTAGTTACTGCTCTGAAAACTCTGCACGTGCTTTAAGCAGGGGGAAAGAGCTCTCCCCAGCTCGCTGCTCCTGCTTGCTTCTCCCTCCTTACTCCCGTCCCTCCCATCCCTTGCTCAGTGCTGCCAGTCTGGTGCTGTGACAGCACCCACAGGTCCCTCTCACCCAGCCATGACAACACCCAGACCCCTTCTGTCAGCTCCTCCACACCCTTTCCCCTCTCCCAGTCACCTCCGCTTGCTAGTCCCTTTTCTCTTACCCTTACCCCCTTGTCCCATGGCTCCTTGAGCCAAGCAGGTCCTGCTCCTTTCTCCCTTGGTCTCCTTCCACCTACACCCTCCATGGCCCAAAATGCTGTCATATCCCCTGCTGTGTCGTCCTTAGGGCCTGATCCAGAGTCCAGTGAAGTCACTCTTCAGACTCAGTAGCTTCCATGAGCTGCGGTCTACACCTCTAGGTTAGGAAGTCACATGGGCAGGGTACAGGTCTTTACCCTGGGGGCCAACAGATTAGAGCTGCTGCCAACCCCAAAGTGCATCACGCACTGACTGCTGGGAGATGGAGCTTCTTGGGCTGTTGATTTCAGTGGGAGAAAGGTCTGTCAAGGGCCTCTAAGGCACAGTGGGCATGTCTACACATGCATTTAAGCACACCTAAATTTAATGCGCATTAGCTAAATGTTCATTAAGCTGCTTTAGGCAGGCATATACACATGCAGGTGTTAAAGAGCCTTAACACTGTGTATGTGGACCGACTTGGCTTGTCACAGCGTTAATGCGCTTTAACGCATCCACACATTCATTAATGTGCTTTAACTATTCACATCTAAATTTGATACCTGCATTTTCAGGTATCAAATTTAGGTACAGATAGCCTAAATTTGCCCTTTTTAATGCGCATTAAGGGTGCACATGTGTGGACGCATACTCGTAATGTGCATTAACTTAGCCTAATACATATTAAAGTGTCGTGTATAGACGCGCCCAAAGCACCCTCGCCCCACCAGTGCAATCAGGCGTGCCCTTGACAAGTGCTTGCTCATCATAGCAAGTCACAAACACTGGTTTGCAGCTTCCTAGAGTAAGCCATGCCAGAGCAACACATTGTTCTGCATGCCCACAGGGCAGGGCAGGAAGTCGGGGCTGAGATTATCACAAGGGAGATTTCGACAGGCTCTTAGGAAGAGCCTTCCCTTACACACATGGCTGAGGGGACCTGTGTTGTTAGCATCCTGCGACTCATGAAGCAACGAAGCCAGGACGTGCTGGCACAGCCCTGCTGAGTGTGGCTTCCTGGGCCTTTACTCCTTGCAACCTTTTGTCAGCAAGTAGCTCCATGCTGGACTTCTGGTCCAATTCCAGCATGTTGTGAAAGTGTGGAGCTCATTGCCACTGGATGTTGTGGAAACTGAGAGTTTAGCCAGGTTCAAAAGGGGATTGGACACATACTTGGAGGAACTATTGAGCACGGAAATTAGGGATACAGCCTCTGAATCACAGCTTCCAAGACGTTAAATGCTGGAAGCCACAAGTGAGAGAGGAACAGTGGGAAAAACTCTGGTCGTGCCCTGTTCACCCTCCCTTTTAGCACTTGTTCTGTGCTGCTTTGTGACACAAGAGACTGTGCAAGATGCACCTGTGGCCTGACCCAGGAAATCTTAGTTCTTATGGTGACTGACAGCTGTTCCATTTTCAGGCAGAGGAGCTGAGACGGGTGCAGTTTTTGAGCTGAGCCCCACCACACTTGTATTCAAGGGAATGGTTTCAGTTCATATGGGTTCACTGACACCCCTCAGAAACCCTCAGGACATCTGGGGTCTCCCAGGGCGCTGGCTCCACATTTTAATCCTTTTGTCATTTTTGCAGGGTTACATGAAGCCTTTGAAGCAGCCAGAAAACTCCATCCTCTGCGACCCCTCCCTAGTGGACGAGATTTTCGACCAGATCCCTGAGCTGCTGGAGCACCACGAGCAGTTCCTGGAGCAGATCAGCGAGTGCGTGCAGAACTGGCACGAGAAGCAGAAAGTGGGAGACCTGCTGGTACAATCTGTGAGTGCAACAAAGATCCCCCCACACATGCCACCTGCCACGGCACCCCCGGGGGGGGGACTGGCTGGGCAGGGATCCTGCTGAAGGAGGTGTGACCATGACTAAAGCCTGGCTAAGCTGTGAATTCCCAGGGCTAGAGCTGCACCAGATGTGGAAGTGAGCTGTGGTTTGCTTGGGATCTGAGCCTGGGTTACACCAACTCAGGTCCAGGATCGTGGAACGGTAAAGCTCTTAATGCAAAGGTTCAAGAGAGCCAAGCAGGTGTGACGATGTGACAGTGGCCCCATGGTGGGCCAGTGTCACGCTTGGCCATATGAGAGGAGTGAGAGCAGGAGCAGGAATCCTTGTATTCTTCCTGCTCAGTTTCCTTCCAGCTCTTCCAGATTTACATCAGTGTGAAACAGAATCTGTCCTGCTGTTTCTAGATTATGCTCATTGGCGACGCGTAAGAGGTGCACATGCACCTCTTGAGATCAGCCGTGCACCCCCTGGAAGCACCAGCCATGAAACTGGAAGTGCACTTCCAGTTTCGCCACTGGCTTGGTGCTCGGCTGCTGGGGGATGTCCCCCGGTTGGCAATCGGTTTCCGCTGGGGGACCCTTCTCCCTGCCCCCCATTGGCGATCTGGTGTCCCCCCAGACTCAGGATGCACCAGTCGCCCATGATTACGCTGGTTGGGTTTGTGGGCCAAATGAAAATCCAGCCCTGCTCTCTCTGCATCTGGGCTCACGTCTTGCAATAGAGATCCCCACCTCCAAATGGAGCTGACGGAGAGTCCTTGCTGTGCCAGGGCGAGTGGAGGCCAGCTGGTTCCTGGCATGGCTTCGTTGGTTCCACAAGGCGACAGGGGACAGCAGTGCTGATAGAGAGCAGACAGGCCGACTGGGCGCTCGCTGCTGGGTTGTTTCTGTGAAGTCTCCTGCTTCTTCCCCAGCATCAGAGCATGTTTTAGGGGCGTCAGGGCCTCACACTCCTATTTCCAGCTCTGCCACAGACTCACAATGTTATCCCAAGTGAGACACTTTCCACCCTGCTGCCCCCTTCTCCCTCTGTGATCTGGGGGCGATGATACCCACCACTCCGAGGATCTCAGGCTTCTTGAAAGCTTGCAAAGCAGGACCTGGGCCTGTCTGGAGTAAAAAGGACAGCCCCTGAGCTCACTTATTTCCATACATATAAAGATACCACCCCTCCTGGATTTTCTTGCTGGGCTGCATCCCACAAGGAGGCACTGAAATGTGAGTTTCATCCCAAACTTGGACAGTTAGCTGCAGGGACCTCGTACCTCCAATTAAAGCATCCAGGTCCCCTGGGACAGTGTCTACACTAGAATTTAGCACCAAAACCTCCCAGTCCTTGCTTTCCCAAGCAGGTTGCACATGAGGTGACAGTGGCCACAATGCACGTGCTGGTGTAGACAGGCATCCTCCTGCTACTAGTGCCTGTGCACTGCGTCAGGGTCAGCAGGACCTTGGTTTACAGTGGTCTAGGAAGGCCTCACCTTGCATCGTGGTGAGGGGAGCTCTGCAGACAGACATGGGGCACTGCTCTCCCTAGGCTACAGGAACAGAGCAGGAGAGACCAGGCCACTGGCAGTGCCAGGGGACTAGCATGGGCGGGGAGTTTGGGAGGTGAAATGTACTCAGGTGGTCCTAGGAGGTGCATGGTACCCCATGCTGCAGCAGAAAGCAAAAAAAACCCATCTCTCCTTGCCAGCGTGACTGGGGAACAGTCACAGATCTAATCCTCAGCAGGACCCACCAGCCAGGCACCCGAGAGGCCTTGAGAAAGCAGAGCCCCAGCACATCTCCCATGTCTAGCCACAGCCTAGGGCTTGAACCCATCTCCCCCTTGGGGCACCCCGTCACGCTGGTGCCTCCACACATGCCAGTGCACATGATGCTGAAGCAGATTGCACCTCAGAAGCCCTGTGGAGGGGAAGGTGCTGCCTGGCAGGAGGAGGGCTCAGCCTGCCCCAAAGGAGGATGCCATCAAGCCAGGCTGAGGGTTCAAGCGCTGCTGCAGGTGGACAGAGACCTTCCCTCACATACTGCAGTGGCATATGCCCTGCCTGGCCCACCCCCCAGCTCTCTGGCGTGGGGGTCTTGTCTTGTACAGCCCAGTGTCTAGCAAACCTCAGCACCTCCAACTGTGAGAGCAAATGCAGTTACCTCCGACAGGGCCTGGGACATCGCCTCCAGCAAGGCAAAGACAGGACATGCTGAGCTGACCTGCTACAGAGCACTGTGCCAGGATGCTGCCTCACGCACCTCAGTATGGTGCAGGTATGAGACACTGAGCTGGGTAGAGAGGAGGGGTCTCCAGGAGACCCCAGCAGCCAGACCCTGCTCCCAGAGCCCCATGCCATTGGGGGCAAAAACACAGAGCCCTTAAAAGCCAGCATCCCTTCTTCCCCAGCCCCAGATAAGGTGTCGGGGGCTCACACATCTCTTTGGCATGGCCCATGGGTGCTTTCTTCCTAACAGGCTGGCTGGGGTCAGCCCGCATTCATGATTCAGCTGAGCCAGGTGTGTCTTACAGTGGTCTCAGCCACTGAAGTGGGAGGCGGGTTGATGCTGCTGCTGTAGCCTGGGCCTGGATGCATTGTGCCAGGCTCATGGGTTTGCCACTGAGCCCTTCTGTCTGGCTGGAGACACAGCGGGAGGATTGTCCAGCCTAGGGCAGGGGAGATGCCCCTCCTCTGTCACAGGGGAGTTGTCTCAGATCGGATTCGGCTGGCTCAGTCCAGGCCCTGGCCGCAGGCCTCTGCACGGATGACAGGTGCTTTGATGAGTGTGACACAGACAGGCACAGGCATTGCTAGGGAAGGCACGATTGACTCTGGCACTACAGAGCAGGGGCACTGACAAGGACCAGAGGGATTGATCTCATCACAGGGGAATCCTAAGGGACAATCTCCTTGCCAGGATGATTCTCTGCCATCACCACCACTTCTACGTGCTGCCCGTTGGGTGGCACACCCCGGGCGACCTTTGTGGCTGAGATCTGTGCCCCATGGCTGTGAATGAGATGGAGGAGGTAGAGGGGTGAAGATGCAGCATCAGGTGCTTGTGGATGCCTCGTTCTGCTTACATTCGTATACCGGGAGCATTGTGCGGGTGTGCATGAAGACCCGGTGATACACGTGCGTGCGAGTGTGTGGGTTCTGTCTTGCTTGTAGGGAGGCCTGAGCGAGCTAAAGTGTGCCGCAAGCTCGCTCTCAACGTATCTGTTTCACCTCCCGGTTGTGTCCTGCCTGATGCTAAAATTGCTAACTCTCCAGACTGGTTTTGTTGACTTTGGGGCACCGGTTGCACAGCACCTTGCACCGCAGGTCTGATCTGTCACGGAGACTGATGGGTGCTGGGGTGATATAATAAATACGAATAGCAAAGGCAGCAATAAGGTGCATGGAGATTAACATAAAGCCCTCAGTGCAGGTTTGCATGGCTCACTGCAGAGCAGGGATATCCAGCCAGCCCTAACCCAGCTAGCTCAGGGCTGGATAACCATGTAGTTGCAGTGCCCCAGAAGTTGTGCCTCCCAGGCGAGGCTCCTTCTGATACCCGAGCTGCTCGGGCATCTCTGCAGTGCGCTGTACTCTGCAGGGAGGACATCCGTCAGGTCCGATCCCCGCTTGCATGTTCAAGGCTGGACAGTAGCATTGCCCGGCATCTCAGCAGTTGCATTTCAAGTGCTCTGAGTGACAGACGGGTATGTTTCAACAGGCACGTGGTGAAGACGATTGTGTGAGGGAGGCTGCACTTGGATGTACGTCTCCAGGTGTGGTTCCTTGGTGGTTCAAAGCCTGGGCAAATAGGCAGCCAGCCCTTCAGCTGGTATAAATGATGGTAACCACACTGAAATCAGTGGAGCTCTGTCAGACTTTATTTCAGCTCTGGGACTGGCCTGTGATGTGCTTGTGGAGGGGTGTGTGTGTAAGCGTGTGCGTGTATCAGGTTAAGAAATCCCACATTAGTTTGGATTAATCACCTGGTGTTTACTGATGTCAAGTGCTGCATATTGCTCCTTGGAGCGGTAATTTTGAAAGTGCAGTTGTGAACTAAGTACATGGTGTTACTGCAGAACAGGAATCTTGGACAGGCCCTTGGATATGCCATTCAGGATGGTGGGCCAAAGCCCACCAAGTAGAGCTATAAGCCCATCACTGATTACTTAGGAAAACAGAAAAACATAAGGATGGGAGCGAGGGTCATAGGTTCAAAGCAAGTGCATTGAGGAGGGCCACCAAGCAGAGCACGCCGGACAGCACCCACTGGCCTTTGAATGAGTCCAGCAAGCCACTGGACACTGCGCAGTGACACTGCCCAGACACATGAACGGACAAGGAGACAGGAAAGCGGCCCCACAGTGCCCGGGTGTCTCCCAGCCAGAGTCTCTTTCCTGGTCAGATAGATCACAAGCTTAGCCACAGCCAGGAAGAGATTGGCCAGGAGGCCCCAGGACTTGGTGGGGCCATGGATGGGCAGTGCATAAACGACAGGGTGCGGGTAGTAGGGAAGCCAGGACCTCAGCAGACGGCTCTAGAGGAGGCGGTGCAGGGGCTGCAGCCTGGCACACCGCAGGTTGGCGTGCACCAGGGTCTCCTGCAAAGGGGCAAGTGTCAGGGGCATCCATAAACTATGCCAGATGCACACCTATGGCACTAGCTCTGTGAAGGAGCTGCCAGCTGAGGTCCCTGGTGCCTCGTGGGATCAGGGTGGAATAATGCTTGTCCACTGGGGACCCTCGTCCTTGCCGATGTGTTGCACCACTTGGTGTCTGGGCAGGACACAAGGACGGGATGGGGGAGGGTGCAAACCGCAAACGTGTAGAGCTGGCAGCAGTGGGAGGTCTGGAAGCAAACTGGCTTGATATCCCCCAGCCTGCAAAGATGGCGAGGTGTGGGGTAGCTCCGTGGGGCCTGCCAAGGCAGGTGCCCCATAACGAGCTCTGGAGGGCTGGGGGATCCCAGGAGGCAGAAACTACACTTGCACAGGACCTGGTCGATGCAGTCAAGGGCAGTGTCCAGCAGGGCAGCCTTGATCTCCTGGAGTAGGCGGCAGGGCGCATGCAACGTGGGCAGCTCCATGCACTGGGCCAGCGCAAAGGGACCTGTCCACCTCTGCATGGCATAGTCCAGGAGGTCCCTGATACGAGTGACGTTGGCCAGAGCCATCCTCCAGGGCACCTCTGGTGCTGGCACCACCAGCTGCGGGTTTTTCAGCCCGGGCTCGACGAGGAGGTCTTTGGAGCCTCGCCAGGAGCCTCGGGGGCACTGGCAGGGTGTTGAAGTGGTGCCAAGGTGTAAACCAGACCAGTTGGTTGATGACCGCAAAGGGAGAGGACACTGCAGCAGGCCCACCCTTGTGTGCAGCCACTCAGACACCCTGACCTCCAGCTGGTGCAGGAGGGGTTTCTGGGGGATAGGTATACCACAAGTAGAGCAGCGAGCCCACACTGCAGCAGATGCTCTGCAGGGTCGATAGAAGCGGGCTGACCTGCCATCCGTCAGGGACCATCTCTTCACCTAGTTGTCCCTGGGCAGAGGAGGCCACTGAGGAGATGGATTGGCAGACTGCCACCTGCACCAGGTCACCCAGGTCCCAGACAGCAAGGAGCACATTGTCGGCATGCGCTCACAGCACCACCTTCGTGGCCAACTCTTGCAGCAGCGGTACTGCCATCCACTTGCTCCGGAGGCACAGGAGGGGCTCGAGGGTGATGGCGTAGACCTGGCCTGACAGCGGGCAACCTTGACGCACTCCCTGCCTGAGCAGGATGGGCTTCATTAGTATCCGACTGAGCTTGCCCATGCACTCTGCAGAGGCCTACAGCACCCAGAGAAACTGCACGAAGCAGGGGCTGGAGCCAAACGCCCTCAGCGCGCCTGCGAGGTACCTGTGATCCACCCTCTCAAACGTCTTCTCCTGCTTGAGGGACAGAAGGGTAAATGACGGGAAAGACACTTAAGAGGGGACGTGATAGCAAAGGGCTGCCCTGTGGGGTGTGCAGATGCTCCTGCTGGGACTCAAACCCAGAGGATCCTGGCTACAGGGTCTTGCCCCTCCACTCAGGGTGGGACCAATCACCATATTTTGGGTCAGGGAGGAATTTTTCCCCATTGTTAGATTAGTACAGACTGTGGGGGGGCACAGCCTCTACATGGGATCTCTTGAGTGTATATTAACAGCCTTTTATAGAAGCAAGACGGTGGTTCCCCTGGTTTACCTGTGGCAGGTTCAGGTGCTAAGTCCGGTGTGTCAGGGTTGACAGCATCTTCTGTAGAGTTTCGATGGTGGATTGTATAGGTTTCGATAGGGACGATCCTTCCTTGCCCCTGGCCCCAAGCATCTCATTGTATTGCAGCTGGCGGAGTCCAGCCGATTCCTGCCAGGTGAAGACCGCTGAGTTCCCGGCCCTGCCATTATGACTTGGTGGCATTTGACCCCAGATCCGCTCAGGTGTGACCTTGTGCAGTCCCTGCAAAGCGGGGAGGAAGCGCGCCCTGCTGTAGATTGAAAGGCCTGGACAGAGAGCAGGAGAAGCCCAAGGCGGTCACCCCATTTGAATGGTCAGGCGGACTTGGTCCGAGGCAAGATGTGTCTGCTTTGGAGACCATCTGACCCAAGGTCTCTTCCGTCTCATAGACCAAGCTGCCATGAGCTTCGCCAACTGGAAGCTGCAGCTACACAAATCCGGACTAAAGTTTGCATTTTGAACCCTGAGAATTACTCTTGGATTAGCTCCCGGAGCGCAAGGGACCATCCGCCTACTCAGTGGAAATCCTTTTAAATCGAGCTTGGATGTGTTTTCCTAGCAGGAGGACTCTGGTTGTAGCACTGGACATGAGGCAGGGAGTGCTTCGGAGAAGCCCTGCGGCAAGTGGAGCGTGAGAAGCCAGAAAAGATGATCACCGGGGCCGTGCCTGGCTCCCACCATATTGTGATAGACCTGCTGTGGGGACCGGAGTGGGGAGTGCGATTGGCTTCTTAGTAGTGCCAGCTCAGCCCCGAAGCCTGAATCGGGGATGCCAGGCATGGCTGTCTTCCTGTTGCCTAATTGATCCTGCTGCCCCTTGTCAAGGTGTCAGCTCCAAGAGCCAGTTCTTCCCCCTCCACCTGCTCCTTGGAAACCTAACCAAGCAAATGCTGCCTCTTAAATCGGGGTGCTGCAAAAAACACAGCTGCAAGCTGCCTGCCAGATGTGCTCTCAGCCGTTAATATGCGAGCCACATCTACTCAGCCAGCAACAACAGAGCAAGGTCGTTGACACGGCTGCTCCTCCAGCCCTGCCGGGGCAGCCAGACCTGTGCCGTGCTGTACCCCATGCTTGCCGGTGCCCCCCGCCCCCCATGCCCTTTGCCATTCTGCCTGGGGGAGGACTGTGGTGGTGATGCTGCTGCCTGGATCCACTGCGCTTTGTGGGTGGCAGCCTTTGATCCGAAGTGACTCATCCACGTCACGCACAAAACATGCGACGGAGCCAGGTCCTGGACTCAGATCCCTGCGCCTGTGCTCAGGATAGCCGGAGAGGCACTCCAGGCATCTTGTGACAGAAGCTTCCTGTTACCGAGTGGCCCTTTGAAAAGCCTTTCCTGTTAGACCAGGGGTTGCAGTCTTTGTAAACCACTTGAGATGTGTGAGGGGCTGGTAAGAGAAGCAGTGAGGGTTTGAGAAAGACGGAGGGTTAAGGATGCCGTGCTGGAAACCAGGAGCAGGTGGATGGTGGGGGAGAGGGGGGCGTCCATGCATGGCTCACAATGTTCTTGATTAGCGATCTGCTAAACACAGAAGCAAAGTCCTGGGGAGTCTTCCAGCCTGTATGATAAAGCATCGATCGGTCCAGCCCAGCTGTGCATTCCTGCTGCATGGGCAACCAGCCCAAGTGGAAGCAGCAGCCGGCTCCTGGGTCAATATGAGGTTAAGGCTGGAGGTCAGGTGAGGTGATTGTGCCAGCCCACACCCTGCCCAGCTTTGTCCAGTCTGGTGACACACGCTCCTGCACACTGTGCTACTACTTAGGATCCTTCCTGAGCATCTCCTTGGCCACCTGAGTTTCCCTGCTGCATCCGCATGCTACCTTGCTGCAGTTGTACACAAAGCACGGATAGAGAGACAAGCAGTGGGCAGACCGGTTCCTCGACGGTGTCTGCTCCGGGACAACGGGCAGTAGAGACAAGAGCTGGGCTAGAAGTCAAGTGCTGGCAGACCTCCTGGGTTGAGTCCTTTAACCTGGGCGGGGTCCGAATGCACTGCAGGGGAGGCAAGGATTAGAGGGAGCTTGGCTTTCAGCCTGACGCCATCCTCTACCTTACAAGCCCTCAGAGGAAGTGCTTTAGGTCTGCCCCATACATGCTCTTTCCTTGGTCCTCCCAGCCTGCAGACAGACAGGAAGGTAGAGGCTGGAAACAGCCCGGAGGCGCAGCCTAGCCAAATAAAGGAGGGAGAGGAACCACCGGCCCAGCGGGTCTCCTTCTCTGCTTTGCGCTCCTTTTGCCTTGTGCTAAGCCTGGGAGGAGAGAGTATTGGAAGGGCTGGGTGGGAGCGGACAGCCTGCCCCTCTGCCGCTGAAGTCTGGACACAGACCTGTCTGGGGCCTGGTGGCATCCCCCCGCCACCATCTCATCCGCGCATGGCTTTTATTGTAAGAGCCACCCCAGGACTTCCCCTGTTAACTCCATGCAGTGGCATCTTGTCCACGCCAGCACGTCCTAAATGGATCGGGAGCAGGAGGACCAAGGAAGGGCCCTCCCAGCAGTGTTTCCAGCCTTGCAGCTGGAAGGCCAGCAGGAAAGCGGCCCTCCTTCCCGACCAGGCGTCTCCAGTCCATGAGTTATATAAAGAATGACCGCTCTCAGCAGGGAGGATGGTGCTACAGCAGGAAAAGCCACTGGCAGCACTGTAATGTCCCCTGGGCAATGCTTTACTGTTATTTTGCTTTAGGTTCATTTTGTCCTTTCTGAGCCAGCCCCTGCGCACCCTCACGGCCCTCTCTCTCTGTTTTGCTTCCCACAGTTTTCCAAGGACATCCTGGTGACCATTTACTCGGCCTACATAGACAACTTCCTCAATGCCAAGGACGCTGTGAGGATAGCCAAGGAAGCCAGGCCAGCCTTCATGAAGTTTCTGGATGTAGGTCACCATCCCAGCAGCAGCCGCCGATGAGCTGATTCCTTTATGTATTGCCAAGGGAAAGAGAGGGCTATGGCATCGCTCCAGACCTCAGTTGGTGTGAAGCGGTGCCCCTCCAGACCCCAACTGGTGTGAACTGGTGTGACTCCAGACCCCAGCCAGTATTACTCCAGACCCTGGCTGTTGTGCAGCCGCATTTGCTCCATGAATTCTTTGGAGCACTTTTACACCAGGTCCTGGGAATCTGAGCTAAGACTTCTCCCTCCCTGTCTCTCATCCTCTGCGGCACGGCAGCTGGAGCTTGCCTGATTGGAGAAATGCCCGTGTGCACTCAGCATCCCCATGGAGATGCATGATGGGCCACATGTTGCCTTCATGGGCAAGGAGCAGGTGGGCTCAAGTTCAGGCAGATTAGGTAGCCTAGAGGGTAGGGAGAGGGACCCAGAGAGCACCCTCCTGGCAGTTAAGACGGGCACCGTCTGCCAGCCCTGCCCATTCCCATGGGATTGCACCTGGAAGCCGACTGGGGTATCTGCCCAGCTCTTGTGCACTGCCTAGGGGCACTCAGATGCGATGAACATGGGGCTGCCAGACTGTAATACACCCAAGGCCTATCCTGGACCAGCACCAGGTGCTTCAGAGACAGACAGAGGATGATCTGCCCACATATTCGCTCTTGTCCCGGCCCCTAATAGACACCAGTTTCACATCGCTCAGAATGGTCATGTTGAGACTTGGCCTTGACCCTGGTATCAGGACATCCCCTGGCATCCAGGGGCAAACCCTGCCACTCCTCATCCCCATTCCTAACAAGGACCTGCCTCTGTCCCCTCCTGGTGTTTTGCAGCAAAGCATGAGAGAGAACAAGGAGAAGCAAGCATTGTCCGACCTCATGATCAAGCCTGTGCAGCGGATCCCGCGCTATGAGCTGCTGGTGAAGGTGAGCGGGTCAGGGGGCGAGGTACCATGGTGGATGGGAGCCATGCCTGATGAGCTCTTTCAGGGCTGCAGGCCACTCTTGGCATGTCTGTGATTGCAGTGTCCCCACTGGGATGCTTGGCTCAGGGAGGGATGCCGTGAAGCAGGAGAGCGGGGCAATGCAGGGGATAGCGGGGAGACAAGGCGAGATGCATGATTTCCTGAAGTCCAGGAGAGCTGGTAGAACATGGATTTGTTCACACTTGGGTTGAGATGTCCTGCATTTATGGGGAAGGGGCTAAGCAACAACCACCCCCGCCCCCAGCCTTTTCTCTCCAAGATAGCTGGAATCAAGCCTTGATCTTCTGGCGTGGAGCTGAGCTCCAACCCCGCTGACCCCTCTGTAGGTAAGAAGCTCAGGCCAGGGGCTATGGGCAATGTAGCTCCCTCTTCCCTCCATGCATATTGACAAAGCACAGGGCTTTACCAACATGCCAAGAGAGACCACCCAAGGCTGGCACTGGTCATCAGTGCACTGAACAGAGACCTGTGAACATGCCTCTTCTAATGGAGGTAGCGAGATCTGGGGTCTGAGAGTCTTACAGGCATCCTCTGAGAGGTCTGCAGTAGCAGCCGAAATCAGTCACATAGCAGGGGTATTTTGCGTAGGTCCAAACTTGCATTTGATCTCTGTCATCTGGAGGTGGAGAGGAGTGAGGAGAAAGCTGCACTGGACAAGCGGCTTCCTTCCAGGGTTGCATGCGGAGAAATACTGGCCAGCATGTGCACTGCTGACCTCCACTGGGTGCAATCTGAGCTCCTGTCCCATGTGTCATACACCCTGCAGCCAGTGGAGATTCTCCTTGAGTTCACAAGGGAGGGGTGTGTGCGCAGTGGTGGAAGGCTGCAGGACAAAGGATGCCCTTTTCTCTGTGTTTGTACAGCACCGAGCCCCATGGGGTTCTGGTCCCTGATTGGGGATCCTGGGCACTGTGGTGATATCAATGATACGTAGTAATATGCACTCAGAAGCAGGTGTGATGGGTGTGTGATACAAGCCTAAATTCATGGAGAGAGCTGTGACCAGCTCAAACTCTGGGATCCCAGACTTTCACACCAAACAGAACATTTTGGGTTTCTGTGCCACTGAATGCATTTCCATCGCTTGCCAGCAATCAAAGCAGCTCTTTCTTTCAGCTCTGCTTACTGTATTGGGACTAGGAGATGAAGGAGCAAGGAGTGGAAGCCACGTGGCTACATTCAGTGCAACCGCAAATGTGGCAGATGAGCCGAACTTCTCTTTATTAGCAGCTTTGCACAAGTCACAGCTGTAGCGATAACCCTTCTACATGCAAAACCCCTTGGCTTGTTTGTGGAGTCACGTTGGCTGGCATGGCCAAGCGGCGAGTGCATTGGTCGAGTGACCTTCCTGTTCTCCTGATGACACAGGCCAGTGTTGCTGTGACTAGGACCTGAGCTTTTATTTCTCAGACCAGAGCTGAGTTGGTTGAATTGGGATCTGGGTCCTAAACTTCCCTGAAGTTCAGAGATATGTGGTGTAATGAATGGAGGCCCAGCCAAGGTAGGTCCCAGGCTGCAGCTGGAGGTAATCGAGGGGATTGGGAAGAGTCATTCCTCAGGAGAAGGCCCTGCTCACCCTGGGTTGTATAAACTAGGACAGACAGCAGCAAGCTATCTGGACTATAGCCTGTTTTGCTGTGCCTCTGGCCTGCTTGGCTCTCCTAAACCTGACTCTGAGCTCTGATCTTCTGGCTTCGACCCTCATGCCTGCTTCTGCTTGCTCCTCTTCCTTTCTTGAACCTCCAGGCCTGGGTCAATTGGTTCCCTGACTGCAGTTTTATCTCAGCGCTTGGACTAGAACTGACACCCAGCATCCACTCTGGTAAACCTCTGACCTAGCACAACCCACTCGTACTGACCGCTTGTGCCCCAGTCAACCCTTGCACACGGAGCTAGAGCAGGGGGCCAGTGCATACAGTGATGAAAGCCATGCGACACATGTCATTATTCTCCCAGCATGTCTGGGACGGGCTAGGAACAGCACATCCTGCATTTGTGCAGGGGTTGGACTGAACAAAGACTCTTCCAGCCCTGGGGCTTTTTGGTTCCATGATTCTCTTCTACGATTGTGCTTACAAATGAACTAACGAGCCAAGGGCTCGGCCCTGTCGAACTCCCTGAGGCTGGAGTCTGCAGCTAACAGAAAATTGCCAGACACAATATCCCTGTTAACTTATTCTTCCCCTATAATTAAATCTCGAAGCACCTGTGAACACCCAGAGGCTGGGCCAGGGTTTCCCAAAGTGATTGATTGGTCCTTTTGGGGGGGAGGTCTAACTTAAGCCCCCTTCAGTGGGCCCCAGTTGCAGAGGGTTGATGCTGAGCAGGTTCTGGAAATCAAGACTCATCAAGTTGCTTCAAAGCTGGGTCGCTAAACCTGAGGCACCCCAATCACTCATTGGCCTGATGGAAATGTTAAAAGGCTTGTGGGGAACAGCTGAGATGGGAATGATGAGTCTGGAGAGAAGGTTACAATGGAGAGCTGGAATAATTGCCTCCTGATAGACAGCCAGCAGGAGGTTTATGAAGACTGTGGGGTCAGTTATTCTTACACATGACCTTGGCCAAGTCCCTTCACCTCATTGGGCTGATATTACTTGTTAATGAAGGAGGAACATTAATGCATTGACTTTCCTGCCTTGCATGGGTGGCATGAAGCAACATTCAGAAAATGCTGCAGGAGGCCAAGCTACAACATGCATCAGGCAGCCCAGATTTTACAGCAAAACATCCTTCTCATCCACAACGGTGACAGCTTTTTGAATGGGCTTTTACTCTGTCCAGAGCCGCTGAAAGGAAACAGCCAGGCCTGTGGAGGAGATGATTGGTGTTGTTATGAGCTACATTCCCCAGATGCCTCGTGCACCTGGTTCAGGGGACGTGCGTTGGAGCGATTTCTAGGAAACAGCCCTTATTCAGCCTGCAGGACAAGAATGGCATTAGCCTGCTGGGGAGGGACATTTTCTTGTGACTTGGCCTGACTTGCCTGATATCGAGGCACCAAGTCTCTGCACTGGGCAGTTGTTTTGGTCCTTCTCCATCCTCTCTTTGCTGAGCCCATAGACAGGACTGGAGAGGCAGAAGGAATCGGGGAGGAAGGAAGACCGAGACAACCACGGCACAGAGAGAACGGGGAAGAAGAAGGAACGAGGCAGAGAGTGGAGATGCTTGGCTTTAACCAAGCGCTGGCTTGCACCTCGCATGGCTTCTCCTGCCTCCAACGTGCTGTCCCCCGCTCATGAGAACCCCCCCACCCGGCTTCCTTGCCATTTCCCCTGAGCAGCTGATGAGATCCACATGCACACATATAGCAGGACTCTTTTCTACCCTCCATCCCTCACAGCCTACAGCCATCCAGCGCAGCGGTTGCTAATCTAATGCAGTGCCAGCCTCAGCTGAAGGTTTCTCAGCAATTTCAGACTCCCTGCATGAGCCGAGAGTACTGTTCCTGCCCTGTGTTCACCCTTGTTCTCGACATCTTGGACTTGCCCATGGCCCTTTCAGTGCACAAGGGGAACTTCTTCCCCTTCGCTGCAGAGCGCAGGTTTCCTGTTAGCGCTCAGAGGAGCGTGCTGAGCAAGCACTCACCCCCACCGCAGGCAGGCTCTGTGCAAGCTTCTCTTTACCTGCCCAGACTCCCAGGGTCCTGTGGGTATCCCCAGCTGTACCTACCCCTGTGCTGTTCCACCGTGGTGTCGGGGAGTTTGAGTCTGGTTTTACCCAGCAGGAGCAGCGATTCAGCAGCTGGCGTCCTGCATTCAGCTGCAAAACACTTCAGCCCATCTTTTGCCTCCTTGCTTTTCAGCAGCCAGGGGCCAAGTCCACAGACAGCGCAACTCCACTCTAAACACCTGCGCATCATGGGACCATCCCCTGCCTCATCCGGGACTGCCTCCAGACAGCTTCTGTATGCCTGGATAGGGCCCACGCCAGCTCTGGGTCCTAATCTAGTAGGGAAGCAGCCACCTCTCCCCTGCTGCCAAATTTTTGGCCCGTGGGAACCCCTGAGGAGTGGATGGCACAGCTCCCTGGGCAGGCTGGAGATGGAGCACCCCTGGTTGAAAATATTTTTGGGCACTGAGTCAATGCTGCTGGAGGATTTGTAATATGCCATCTCCGTGGCGTGAGCGAGACTGACTCCCTTCCTAGAGCAGCCTCGGTTTCCTCAAGTGATATTCTGTCCCGTAGCAGCAATGACCTTGGACTTCCTTTGCTTGTGGGTTTTTAGGTAAGACTGCAGCCAGTTTTAATTCAGGTTATAGCACGTTGAGGCCTCTTGTTTAACCTTCTGTAACTACCTGTCTGCTGCCGTCAGTTTGTATGCCAGGGCTCTTCTCCGTGATGATTTGCATACCCATCACCCTCGTGCCTTCAAGGGCAGCTGTATACCGTGGTCGCCCTAACCTAATTAGGGGTCCAATGTAGCTGGCTGCCTGCTAATGAAAATGAGGAATCTGAGCCAGTCACATTCCTGTGCCTTGCCTTCGCCTCACTAATATTTGCAGGCAAATGCAATGATCTCATTGCGCTTGCACAAGCGTCTACTATTTTTATGCCCCAAACAGAGCCAGACATCTGAGGTTTCCACAGTAAATTAAGTCAAGGGGCATTAGTGAAGCTGCCAATGCACAGACACTATGCAGAGCCAAGGAGTGGTATAATTCACTCAACAGGCGATGGCATTATAGGAGAAATAGGAAGAACTTGGAATAGTTGCCCGCAGACAGTAAAGCTGTTTATTAGCTCAAAAAAACAGGTTATTTTCCAGTACGATCCCCAAAGTCCTTAGAGGCCAACTGTGAAATCTGATTTATCACCTGACCCAGAAAACTAAAAACAACCCACACTTCTTTTTTTTATCCTGAGTTCTGGATTATCCCCTTTTTTGGTTTTAAAAATAACCGTGCTGAAAGGCTTAGGTCGCACAAGATGTTAAGTATT